TCTACTGGAATGTAGATGTACACCATTGGCTTTTCTGAGATCCAGCTCATTAGCCTTGACAGGAGTTTTACCCCTGCCTTCCTAGGTCTCTGGCCTGCTAACTGGTTATCTTCTAAATGTTAGGTTCATGATAACACAAACAGTTCTTTTAGCTAAGACACATGAGTTGCTCCATTGACCATTTCCATCTCAACGCCTTTGATTCTCTTTGTTTCAGAAAGCAAAAACTCATGGAAATTCTAGCATGTTTCAGGGTGGTAAGAGATCGATGCATGAGAAGTTTTCCTCTTCCCACCTTTGCAGCCTGGTGAGGGAGGTAGACACAGGAGCAGATGGCTGCAGTGCAAAGTAAAGAGGGTCATGGGGACCCTGCACCCTGACTTCATCCCTCGGTCTCCTTAGCAGCATCCGGCTGCAGCGTCACTTACTGAATTACTGGTCTTGCTTCCTCAGCCCTGTCCCTCTCCCCTAATCTTGGCATGGATCTTCAGCCAAGACGTCTCCCCTAATGATATTTCTGGTCTTAGGCACTGATGTAATGACAGCCGTGAAGAATGTTCCATCCCAGAAAGGTCAGGGAACGGTGTAATCCACAGACCAGCAGCCACTTTGCACAAAGCCCATTGCTGAAACAGACTTTAACCTTTCCAGCTTCACCACAGGCAGGCTGCAGATCCTGTAGCCTGCCCGGAGCTGACAGTAATAAGGGAGGAATGGAGATGAGAATCATTATAGAGAAGACCTCATATCAGATATTACACTTCTCCCTGTCAATCTTAGCAAACATTACCCTGAGTGTTCAGGGGCTGCATTTATTGGACAGCAAACAGATGATTAAAATGGGTAATGCTACAGCTCACATTACAGAAATGTAAAAAATATAGATTGTATATGTGTCAGCCAAATCCTCCCTTCATGTTATGGGTCTGAATGAAAAGATTTGGCAACCAGGATCCTAAATTTTTAAGCACATGCTTTCATACAGACACTTTTAAGAACACAGAAGGCATAAATGTAATGAATCTAAATCTGTCATCTTGGGTCACCTACCATTTATTGAGGGAAAATAAGATACAAACAGGGCTGTAATACATTGAAACCTTCTTCAGTATATAATTGCTTGGGAACACTTGGATGAAATGGCTTAAGGAAGGTTAGCATTAGAAATAAACAAGCTTTAGTCACAGTACATCTGTGTTTTATTTACATTGGGGGGAAGTAACTGTTCTGAGCTGGTCACTCACTTTAAAATGGGACAATAGATAATTTGTATCTACCTAATACAGTTAAAGAAATGGCAGGGGAGGGGCCTGGTGAGGGAAGTCCTTCTGTATATGTTCTGCTTTTATTGGTTAATGAAACAAACTGCTTTGGCCTGTGATAGGGCATAGTAGAACAACGTGTGAAAACTAAACTGAATGCTGGGAGAAAGAAGGTGGACTCAGGAGACACCATGGAGTGCCAGAGTGGAAAGATGTGAGCAGCCAGCTGGGACCTTGCTGGTAGGCTACAAGTCTTGTAAAATATAAAATAGTTAAAATGAGTTAACCAAAGATATAAGAGCTAGCTAGCAATATGCTTAAGTGTTTGGCCACAGAGTGATTTAAATAATATAGTTTCTGTGTGATTATTTTGAGTCAGGGCAATCGGGAAACAAACAAGTAGCCTCCTATTACAGATTGGAGCCCAATTTGTAGTAGGAAGGCTGTTAGTTCATTCGGGGCTGCTCAGTCCTGAAATAATCACAAAGAAATCTGTATTTATTCCAATACTGTTTGGCAATTGCTTAAGCATATTTCCATCTAACTCATATCTTAAATTAACCAATCTCTATTGTTTTGTACTTTACCACAAGGCTTGTGGCAGCTCAAGCCTTTCCTTTCTGGTGGCTACATGGTTTCTCACTGACTCCACTTTCTCTCTCTGTCTCTCTCTCTGTCTCTGTCTCTCTCTCTGTCTCTCTCTCTGTCTCTCTCTCTCTCTCTCTGTGTGTGTGTGTGTGTGTGTGTGTGTGTGTATTCCAGCCTGGCTATATTCTGTTAAGCCATTGGCCAAAAGCATTAACCAATAAAATTAATACATATACAGAAAAACTTCCCACACCAGGGACCATCAATAGTATCATTTGGGACCTTGATGTTATCTCTGTCCTACCTGCCTGCAGTGTCCTGTCCTGGCCCTCCCTCTGTGTCCCTTCTGTGCTTCATCACATCTAAGACATTTCATGTTTGTCCTTGCCACTGACAGAAATTAATAAAGTCACTTAAGCCTGTATATGAGTTTTCTTGCTCAAATTAAGTCTATCAGCACCTCCAGCCTCATGAGTTGTGACACATGGCCACTGAGGTGCTGCCATCATCCTGGTAATGCTGTGCACACCATGGAACCCTCTGAATGTCTTCCACACCTTAAGAAGGGACATTGGGAAATGGATTGCGAGTTGTAAGTGAAGCTGATTCCACAAACTTAGTTGTGCATGTTCAGAACGTACTTCAGTTTTTAATTCTTCTCTTCTTGTAATGAAATAAAATGACTAATTTTTGGAGCAGTTGGTTTCAATTTATGATCTAGGCTCTGGAAAAATACGTGTCCATCATGCCAGGGAGGAGCATGGCGGCAGGAGCAGAAGCAGGAGGCTGAAGATCACATTGTCCCCTTGAATGTGAAGCAGAGAGAATGAGCTGGGAGTCAGTGAGTTTATAAAACCTCAAACCTCTATCTATCCAGCAACATACCTTCTCCACCAAGACTTTACTACCTCCCACCACTGATAGCCAAGTCCTCAAATACCTGAGCCAATAGAGGACAATTCTTCAATTTGTTTCAAAGCATTTATTACTGCTCATGCTATAAAAATCATTAGGATATTTTATCTAAAACCACAAGAAAAAAAATAAAGTAAAACTGCCCTTTATAGACTACACACTCATCCCATTGAGTTTCTTTTTATTTGGGGCTTGGTTTGGCTTGGTTTGCATATTAAATAGTTCAGCACTTAGTTTATCTATTTAATATGGTTCCCAAACTAGGTAGGTAGCATTAAGGAAGAGGAGAGCAAAGTCAGATAAGGAAGGTGGGCAAAGAGAGAACACTTAGATTTTACTAATAAGTAACCAAAATCAATCCCAATTGTGTTTGACTCCTGGACCTGAACACTAAAAGGGGAAGAGTATGTTCTCCAAAAGTTTATGATTTTTATAAATAACAGAAACCAGTCTCCAACATTTCCATCTCAAAGCCTAAATAACCATCTTATCATCTATTGGTTCAGAGACTTAAAGGATTGGAACAAAAAAGATATAGAAATGGTGAAGACCTTTGTGTATGTGTGTGATATGTGTATGTACTTTGTGTGGTGTGTACATGGTGTGTATGTATTATATATATATATATATATATGGTTTCTGTGTGTATATGTGCAGTCTGTGTGTATGTGGTGTGTGTGGTAAATATATGTATATGTGGGGCGTGTGTACATGTGAGGTTTGTGTGTATGTGGGGGGTGTATGTGGTGTGTGTATGTTCATGTGTGATGTGTGTATGTGGTGTGGTGTGTGTGTGTTTTACTCTGTGTGTGATTTATTTCCAGAACTCAAAGAGAACTTACTAAGGAAATTTCAGCAAGCCTGAAGCATTAAGATGGCAGGCAGCAAGTTAGGTCAGGAGAAGCTCCTGGAGCTGCCTGAGAGAGGAAAAAGGACTGCTGAGAGGCAGATTAATCCAGAAGCCTTGAAGAACTGATCGAACTGAACATTTCCTTCATTGTCTTTGTCCAGAGGCTTTAATTTCAGGTCCAATAAAGTCCATAAACTACCAACGACTGAAAAGGAGACATGGCTAAGTCAAGAGAGAAAATCTCAGTTCCTCTTAAAGTGGCTGCTACCAGAACTCAAAAGTTTATCACTGCTATCCTTTGGCACTGGTGAATTCACCATTAATTTATGTTTTTGATATTCTAATGAAGACATATCTGTCACTATATCATGACTTTGTTATTTTTAGTGTTTTATAGCTAGAATTAAACTTAATCCACATTATTCTGAATTACCTTTAATGAAAAAGAAATAATGTCTTGGAAATGATCTGAAAACCAAACCACAATCTTAAGTCATCTGTGGTACTGTGGTTTAGATGTCCCTTAATGCTCCATGTGATGAAACTGACCTAGAAATAAATTAAGTTCACTGTTGTGTAACTTCCATGGTAATCCTTATGAGAGGGCTATTATTATGAAAGGAATGGATCTGTGACTGCTTACATCCACGTACAAACTTCTGCTATGATATGAAGTCATGTTCCTCCTAACATCCTCACCAGAGGCTAAGACAATCACCTTGTACATACACATACCTTACATAGTTCATCTTGTACTATGAACTTCCCAAACTTCAGATATAGCTTCATACTCATCTAGTCTTAGGTATTTTGTTTAGCTAATAAAATGTTATTATAAAAGGCCAGAAAGAAAGATTTTTTTTATCTCAGCAACCACAGAAGAGAAGGCTACTAAATAGTCCAGATGTGTTTAGCAGGCAATATATATGAGACTCTACTTGTTTTTACAATATGTGTACATAGAGTTTCAAATAATTTAAAATTTAAAATCCAAATTGCTGACATTAGATAATGTACTGGCTTAACTGTCAACTTGATATCACCTTAAATCAGCTGGGAAAGAATTCTTAATGATGTATTATCAAGGTCAGTTTGACTTATTATAACATCTGTGGGGTTATCTTGTTTGCTAATTGATATACAAAGAAGCCATTTTGGAGAACACCATTCCATAGGCTTGAGGATTCTAGAATACACAAGATAAGAGAAAGTCAGATGAAACTACGCAAGAATGCAATGCAAGGACACATTTATTTTGTCTTTCCTCTGACGGTGGATGTGAAGTGGCTAGCTGCTTGAGTTTTCACTTTGCTTTGCCCAAATAAAGGACCATAACTTGGAATTGCAAGCCAAATAAATCTGTTCCTTCACTATGTTGTTTTTTGATCAGGATATGTTATAGCAACAAAAATGAAATCTGGATAGAAACTGGTCCTGAAGAAATAGAGTTGTACTGAATTTGATTTTGCAAGATCAAAAGTGTCAAGAAGACCAGCTAAAAACAGCTGTCCCAGGCAGCAGGGTTGGAGTTCATGGAGAGAGGCTGTGAGAGGCCATTGGTGAATTGTAATGGGGACTCTAAGGTAAGGGAGATTACATGACAATTGAATGTCCAGAAAAAAAGAGAGCTGTGGAGGGAGAAAGAGGCTGACCTATCAGGGAGGTTGTATGTTCTATGGATTGGAGCTGAAGAACTGGGGGTACCCAAGCCTTTTAGGGTCCAGATTATTATATTATGATTCAGTACCAGATACTGGACAATGAACTACATGATTTGAATTTACATCGTTAGATAATTTGTGTAATTGTTTTTGTATCCTGATTCTTCTTTTTGGAATAGAATGAGATGTTGTTGTTGTTGTCTTGTTTCTTTATAGATGTTTATCATTAAGTAAATTTGGACTTTTAAAGTGAGTTTTGACTTATAAATATTCCTTAGAATGTGAAAACCTTAAAATTTTAAAATTGCACTGTGTTTATATGTCTAGTTTACAAGAAATGGATTATTCAGGTTAATTTTGAACCTGACAAAACTTACAAGGATGTAGGAAGAGAGTTTCAAGACACAATTGTCTTGATCACCTTGGACTCTGGGAAAGTACTTTAAGATATTTCTTGATTTTTGTTTGCTAGAAGAAGACACAATTCATTTTGGGAACAGCATTCCCTAGTTAGGGCTTCCAAAACTATGTAAAACAGAAGACCCCTAGATGAGAGCCTGCAAGGATACATTTAATACATTGTTGCTCTTGACTGCTTGAGCTCCTGCCTTGACTTCCTTGAAACGAACTGTAACTTGGAATAATAAGTCAAGTAAGATCTTTCCTCTCCTATGTAAATTCTTGCCTGGATATTTAATCAAACAAAGGGATCTGAAACTAGGATAGGCGGAGTAGTTCAAGATGTCATCCATGTTAGGAGTGACTTTGGCTACTTTAGCCCCTCTACGGCACATACCATCGCAGTGCCAATTTGATGAAAGCAGGTCTGCAGGAACTTCAGGCTACTCTCCTTGTTCCCCTGGTAACAAACACAAAGACAGCTTTTTATGTTGCTCTCCTTTATCATGATGGAAAAATCTTTAAAGTCCCTGGCAACTTTTTCTGAGGACTAGTTGGCGAGAACTTTGTTACGTGCCTATACAGAATTGACAATCAGCAGCAATGACGTGAATGGCAGAACCAACTCCGCTCACAGGTGTAGAGTCAGTTCTGACAATTTTGCATTGTATTTACAGGAGAGAGAGAACAGTGAGTCTTGTGAGGCCTAGTCGGACATTCGTGGATTCTGCAATCACAGTCATAGTTTACTGACTTAAGTCCTCAAGAGTCTGTGGTTCTACTACTAGCATCTCTATAAGTAAAAATACCAGGAAGTGGCATGAGGTTGTAGCTAAGTGCTAGAATGCTTGCCTTCAATGAACAAGACTCCAAATTTGACTCCCAGCACCACAAAAGCAGAATAATAACAACAGCAACAAAAAATGCTAGTGGAAGAAGTGTGCTACATTTTCTCAAAGAACAAGCAATTATATATATATATATATATATATATGTGTGTGTGTGTGTGTGTGTGTATATATATATATATATATATATATATATATATATATATATATATCTTCCTGATGAGTCAAAAGGTGAGTTTAAAAGTAAACCACTAAGTAGAACGCAGCTAAAACCCCAGGACAACTGGATCGGACTATAAATAAATTTCTCTATTCTCCCCATTATACTTTATAAAAATCCCTCAGGTTTTGTATTCGTGCCAAGGAAAAGGCAGGGGGACATTATCAATTAGCCTAAAAACATTCCAGAAAGGCTGCATTGCTTCAAAGTCTGAAAGTTGTGTAGCTTCCTCATAGCTATATACTGTCATTTGTGAGATTTGAGTAATAATAATGTATATTCATGATGTTTCAATGGAGTTCTATAATCCTGGACAATATAAACAGTAAGTGAATATTTAAAATCTTCCTACTACTGCTTTTCTTATCTAGGAGAAAAAGCAATACAGGACCCATTATTTCAGCAAAGTGAGTGAGACCTGTTTTGTGTATTCAACAGATATTTTCGGGACAAATACACAAAAGCTATACAATAGGTCAACTTAATCTTTTCATTTTGAACAAGTAGCTGTGACTATACATTTAGAGTGAAATGGAACTCAAGGCTGAGCATGAGATCATCTTTGCTCTGTTCTGTGCACACATGAAAAACACAATGAACATGCAAACAGAATCCTACTGCCAACAACAGGACAGTGCAGGTAACCAAGTTCACCCTGGAGTTAAATATATGAAACTGCAGAGGCCCAACAATAGTATTTACATCCTGGCCACATGAATTCCACCCCTTTCTTCCTACCCCTGTCATCTGCACCAAAACTCAGCCAAACAGGTCCTCAGTACCAAGCGGTCTATGATAGACGCTCAAGCTCATGCTCACATTCCTTCTCTCTTTACACAAGTCAGCAGTTTTCCTGCTCACTAGCTTTGAAAGCCTGTGTTTCTCTACGACTCTTTGCTCCACACTCTAAAGATCATTAGTAGGCAAATATCACTGAATTCCCTGGAGGTATTCATGGGACAAGAGCCCTTACTACACATTCTGTGCTAAATCTGAATGCTGGGTTGGCAGAGTCCATCTGTGAGCATCCCAGGTCCTAAATGGACTTTTCAGGTTCTTTCTTCATGTCCTAAATTTAAGTGAGCCAAAGCATTCTACTTGTCTATGTCTTTTTAGGAGCCTCTCTGCTTTACATCACACACACACACACACACACACACCCGCGTGAGCGTGCACCACAGAGGGTGGAGAAGAGAGGGTGTCTCTGTTCCTTATTGTAAATAGCATAGATGATTCATGGTCCAGGTGAGTGACCTAGACCCTTGCATGAAAGTTCACATTGTCACACACTTGCTTGAAGGCACACTTTGCTATTGGTGTATAAGAAATAACTACTCAAATAGTGACTAGAGAAAGACAAAATGGTGATTGCCAGAAGAAAAACACAAAATGTGAGTCTCTTAGACATAATGAAAAGTAGTCACCAGGAAAACAGTATTGTTTTCTCGCAAGGTGTGCAGAGGGTGTGAGGAATAAATTGGCCAGTGCTGACAGATTAATGATAGTGGCATCTGCTAGGAGCAGATGGTGGTTCCCAGCATCCATGAAGATGCTCCTGTAAGACGCACACCTTGTCATCAGATTCTGCTATTGAACAACTCCTATTTTCAACTTCCAGTCCCTTGTGTATTGAACTTCAGCAAACAATCATGCTCTTGACAAATGCCTAAAACACTATGTTAGATTGAGACTTCTCCACACTGGTGAGCTTCTCAGAGGGTGAAATTCTGAAGACTACATTTAGGACACGGGTTCTTGCTTCATGCTTCTATTATATTAACAGCAAAAAGAATGTGATTCATCTGTTTATTGGAGTATTTGAAAAATGCAATTTTCTCAATAACCTGTACTCAACTGAGAAATGATGGATGTTTGTATGAATGGGATAAACGTGCATATCTTCAGTGCCCTTCTAACTCAACCCCAATGTAATATCTTCTGTCTGTCCACAGACTGCCCCTCACAGTGTAGTTCTGGGCCTAGAATCTTCTTATGAACTGCAATGTCCACCTCTGATGTCCATAACCATCCTTTTGCCCTGTCTCATGTGGTGGCATTTCATAAATAATGCTTGACTGAAGATCAGAGAATAAAACAGTTTCACTGCTCAGTCTTAGAGACCAGGCAGTGGTAACACATAACTTTATCCCTAGTAACCACACTAGTTGTCAAAGAAACTGGGTGGCTCATGCCTTTGATCCCAGTGGTACACGCCTTTCATCCCAACCCTAGAGAAAATTATAAAACGGGAGGAGACAGCTCTCAGACACAGTCTCATTCTGAGATTCCTGAAGAAAGGATTGCCATTTTGGACTGAGTTTGAGAGAAGAGCCAGTAGCTAGCTACTTTGCTTTTCAGATCTTCAGGTTGAACCTCAATTTCTGTCTCTAGGTTTTTATTAATCGTGTTTAAGTCTGGTAATCACTGACTTTTCCTGCCTGACCCAGGGGAGAGGGAGTGGATAAGAGTGCTAAGTTTTCCACACATGGAAATGCACCAAGGTGGCTTTAGATGCATAGACCTTTACAGCCTGCTCTCTGATATATAGAGCTATAAAATAGTCATATGCAGTACTTACTAAACAGTCTCTGAAAACTCTCTCTCTCTCTCTCTCTCTCTCTCTCTCTCTCTCTCTCTCTCTCTCCCTCTCCCTCTCTCAGGGGCAGGTTCTCACTCTTTGGTCCATTCTGGACAGCACAGTGATCCTTCTACTTCAGCCTCCTGAGTAGCTATAGCTAAAGGTCTATATCAGCACACCTGGCTCTGGGTGAGCACTGGCTTGATGCAGGCAGTTTCCCACACACTTGTCCATGCAATCTCATTCAACCCTTCTGTTAGAGGGGCAAGAAAAGTCATGTAAGTCTGTGCACATTGATGCTCAGGACATTGAGAAGATGCGGTCGATGCTGCGGATGTTTTCTGCTGGCACTGTTGTTCCAATTATGCGACAGTTTGAATGGCTCCATTCGCAAATTTGAGAGTTGGAAACTTAATCATTAAAGCTGAAGTTCTGGGAGATGATGTCAAGTTAGAGTATTTCAGAACAGGGAGAATTCTGGGGGTGGGATGGCTTCTTGTTCTTCTGCCATGAGATTGGAAGCAGCTCTTCCTTCCAGAGGATTCAGCACCCAACTTGCCAAAATTGAAGAGGAGGTCAGGCCCTCACCAGACACCAAACTTGTGTGCATCTAGTTTTACACTTTCTGGCCTCTAAAACACAAAAAGAATATATACTCTCAGATGTCTTAATTTATCTCAACATTGACTAAGAGAGGTGCTACTTTTGGTTACTTTGTTGATTGGTCTAGGGATGCTGTTCACAAAGCACCAGAGGCTGTGCTTGAACAACAAATACGTACTTTCTTATAGCTCTAGAGGCTGAAAGTTTAAAGACCAGAGTTCACAGGACTCATTGTCTCAATGTTTCTCTCTCCTTTCTCCATAGTCACCTTCTC